ACACACACACACACACACACACACACACACACACACACACACACACATCACCTAAGCTGAGCACTACCATCTCATGTCAGTGAGGGATCTAACGCTCCTCCTCACTGCTCCCACATGAGCACGCACATCATCTTCTCCTGTGTGTGTGTGTTCTTCCTCCCACCGTCCAGAAACCTGCATGTTAGGTTGGTTGAACTGCCCTTAGTGTGAGTGTGTGTGGTTGTGGGTCCTTGTGTGTCTCTTGTGTGTCTCTCCTGTGATGGACTGGGGACTGTCCAGCTCTCCCCATTGGCTACTGGGTTAGGCTCCGCCCCCCCTGACCCCATTAGGGGATAAGCGGTTAGGATAATGGATGGATGGATGGTTTCCTTGTGTGGCTGCTAAACGTTTGACTGCCAAACCACCAGGAAAAGACCTTTTAAAAAAAGTCCAGTGACTGCTTTGCTCCATCTTGCTAGCCAGAGGGCTCCTGTCCCTAACGCTGCTCCGTCCCGCTCAGCTCCCCGTCACCTCTGCCCCCCCTCTGACCAGCGACAGCCAAAGAAACACACTCCCCGTACCTGCTTGTTGAAGTAGAGGAAGCCTTTGGGACAGTTGATGTTGTGGAATGGAGAGAAGGACTCGATGGGGCCGTCGATGGTCATGGGGTGGAGCCTCAGGGCGCCCCGGGAGGTGACCAGCATCCAGTGAGGGGAGGGGCCGCAGATGAACACCTGCCACAGCGCCGGCGGCAGAGCGTGATCAACAAGAGCTGGCTTTTTTATTCCTAAATAGTTAGAAAGGCTTTTAAAAATGTCCCTCTCACCCCCGAGTAGCCGGAGATCTCCTCGAAGTATCGGAACCTGGCGATGCGGCTCTTCAGCACCGCGGCCTCCTCGCCGCCCTCCGCCTTCTTTTCCTTCCTCAGCTTGGACTTCTTTTCCCTGAAGTTGATGTTGTGGGGCACCTGTAGGCAGGGCGGCGCCCCCGTTAGCTCCGATATCCGGGGCCTCCCCCCCCTCCCCCCTCCTACCTTTTTAAAGCGGACTTTCAGATTGTTCTGCGGCTGCTGCTGGTCGTAGGGGAAGGCTTCGTAGATCAGAAGCTCGTGCTCCACGTGGACCTCGAGGGCGGGACAAGAGTTTTCAGCGGGTTTAAGTTTTCTTACTCGACAAGCTTCTCCACTGAGCGGGGTCAAAAGGAGAAAAAAACTTACCAGCAAATAGGGTCTGCTGCGATTGTTGCCGAGGGAAACCAGGGACACCTCCTTGACTAACGGCATCTCTCCTTGTCGGGTGACTTCCTCCTTCTTGACCTCGCCCTGCGCGGCCGACTGACCGGAGGAGCTGTCCACCAGCACTCTCTGGCCCACGGGGAAGTTCTTGACCAGGAACACCAGCCTCCAGTCGGGCAGCTGGTAAATCTGTCCGAGGACGGGGGAAAGAGGGAGCCGAAGCGAGAGGCTTTGAGGGCTAAATTCACAGCGTACTTTCTTTTAAAACGACTTTTGTGGTCTTCATATTTTGATGGATAATAAGTTTAGTTTGAATAGAATTCTCTAAACGTCCAAGAGGACTTTTTATGACTAATTTTTGTCTCTTTGGCTCTTAAAATATGATTTTAAAATGCCTAACATCCAAGTGGTGGACCTCTGATCTGACGACGTACCTCCATCACCCCGCTCTCCCTGATGATCAGACACCAGTGGGTGGGCTCTGCTTTGCTGGGGTTTCCCTCGCCCCCCGAGCCCGCCGGCGCCATCAGCCCGCGGCCCGACTCCTCCTTAGCGCTGGCGTTGGAGTCGCCGTACAGCATCTCCTCCTCATCGTCCACCGTGTTGCTGCGCAGACGGCAGGGGGGTCCTGCGGTCAGCCCGTTTGGAACGGGGGCGGGGCCAGCGGCGGCCGGACGGCGGCGGCCCTCACCTCAGCTCCTGGATGACGGTCTCGGCCTCCGACAGGCTCCCGGCGGCGGCGGCGGCGTCCTCCTTCACGGCGCAGCTGATCTTGTTCTCGGTGGTGAACATGCCGCTCACGTCCCGGTAGGCGCACAGCGTGATGACGCGGGACTGCTGCTGGGCGAGAGGGGCGCCGTCAGGGTGGCGCCCGCAGGAGAGGCTCGCCGCGGCCATTTAGTTAGCTCTGTCACTCACCGAGGGAATGTGCGGCTTCTGCAGGGCCAGCCGGTGCGTCTTCCCCATGTAGGAGTCGTTCTTCAGCACGAACATGGTGACCACTCCCTCGGCGGTCATGATGACCACGTACGGGTCCGCCACGGAGCAATGCACTATGGGAGAACCCAGGTCCACTGGGATGAAGTGGATCTGTTTCACTGGAGGCAGAAGGCATGGAAAAGAAGGTGGAATAAGAGACAGAAAACTAGGAATAGCTGGAGACATGTGTTCACCATGAATTTTACAGGAATGTGTTTTAAGCCCTTTAAACCATGAGGCTCCCAGATGAGGAGCCACAGATGTATCTGAGATATTGTGTTTCCTTTGTGTTTCTCATGTCCATAAGTGGTGATCAGACCCTGGGCTTTTCTGCAGACTTTCTTAGGGGCGTCTTCCCATTTGCACTCTGGCTTTTTCTCCTCGTTCTTTAGTCCAGTTAACTGAACAACCATTTTCAGATGGGTGTGCTCTAAGGAACAGAGCCTCTATGGGCTCACGTTTACATCAAAACTACAGCTAGCGGCTTTGCAGAGAGCCTATTTCTAAAGGATTTCTTTAGGGAACGTCTATCGGCAGCCGGTCACAGAGACAATATTTGCTCTGTTTTCTTTTTTTTGCCTCTTTGAAAACATTTCAGTTTTGACTGACGTAAAATTGCATTTTTGTCATCGCGGAGCAGATTCATCTTTGCTGGAAATGAGGCACACTGTTCAAGAAAAAGATGACATCAGATTCAAAGTCTCAGAAATAGTTTTCAAGTGGAGAGGTGTGGCTGTATGAAGGACATTCATTAGGAGGGGAAATTGACAGAAAAGGCCGTGCTATGCTGTAGGGAAACAACCAGTGGGTTCAAAGTCTGATGAAAGGAGGAATCCTTCCACTGGAAGGATGAATCCTCCCCGGAGCCCGGACCTCATGATTACTGAGGCAGTGTGGTATCATCTAACAGAGAACAGAACGGAAGGCAGCCAGCATCCAAAGAAGAGCTTCCGGGTGCCCCTCATGAGGCCAGGAGAACTATTCCTGAAGGCTACTGAAAGAAGGGACGGTAAGCTTGTCTGAAAGGGCCCTTTTCCTCGTTTCTCTAGGACCTCTTTTAGAAAATAAACTGCCCAGTTTACCTCCCTCCAGAAGTCGAAGTCCCATGGGTGAGACCTGAATGATGTACTGGTTGTCTCCGATGTTGCCGGCGAACACGGTGGGCCCCTGGGTCGCAAAGCCGCTCGTGTCCAGCTCCATGATCTCCTGCCCGGTCTGAAGGATCTAGGAGAGAGCAGGACACAGAGCCATTCCTCACTGATGAACTGGGAAAAGCGTCCCCTGACGCGGCTTTGAAAACCCTGCTTGGGGAGGGGATAAATAAATAGAGAAATGGTGGTGGTTCAACCATGGTGGAATCCTCCCGGCTGAGGATGAGGAAGCCGTGCTTCTTGCCGTCGTCCTCCATGGGAGGTTCCGGCTTCTCCTCCGCCTTCTCCGTCCCTTCTTTCTCCTTCTCCCCATCCTCGCCCTCGTCCTCGGTCTCGGCCTTCACCCCGTCCTCCGGCTCGTCGCTCTTGGCGGCCTGGGTGGGCGGCGGGTGGGGGGAGAGCACAACAGACCGGTAAAGACACGCTGAGAAGGCCGAGGACAAGCCGGAACCTGGCTGGCCGTTACTTTTTTCTCCTCCTTGGCCTCGCTTGAAATGACGGTCCACATGTTGTGGCAGCCCGGCAGCTCAAACGTGGTGACCACTTGTGGTCGGATGCTTCTCTGAAAACAGAAGTGGGGGGGGACAGGAAGGGTCACAGCGGGTGCAAAGGACGCGGGCGCCGTCTGTATCTGGGCCGTTTACAGGCTACTTCGTCGAACTCTGAAGCAGCCGTGGTAAACCCAGACTTCACTTTAGCACCGTCGCAGGGCCTGTGGCGGACGGCCCTCGCCGCCAAAGGTTTCAGGACGGTGCGGTCACTCCGATTTGGGAATGGAGACGAGGACTGACCTGGAGGACGGACAGGGCGCCGTTCTTCCCGTAGCCGGAGCACACCACCACCTCCAGGTCAGGCTCGGGGTTGCTCTGAAACTGTGGGGAAGACACACGTCTGAGTGGACCTTGTGGAGGCATTCCACGTGTGGGCGGGAACGCCAGCGGGTGTGGGGGGGCGTGCGTACCTCCTCAGACAGGAAAGCGGGCTCGCCCATGGAGGCGTTGGCACAGGGCCCGATGTTCAGTATGCTGTCGCACACCTGGAGGAGAACACGGGAGGAGACCTTCGTCCTGCTCTGTTTCCCAGTAAATCTGCTCAATAAGTGCGGGACACAGAAAGCTGGCCTACCTCAAAGGAGTAGGTGGCCAGCTGAGTGCCCGATTGGGCTTCGCTTCCGTACACCTCGATCTCGTCCACTTCATCTGGCAAAACAGGGACGTTCCACGTGAGGCAGAGCGGTTAGGGGACCTGGTGGGTGAATGGTGGGAAACATACCCGTCCAGTTGGCGGAGGAGTCCACTCGCTTCTTCTTGCTGGGAGGCTCCTCCTGTGTGTTGGAAGCAGCCATTCCAGGAAAGTAATTATTCTGAGGGACAAGCTGGCGAATTAGATCACTTCCGTCTTTTCAAAAATCTGGTTTCAACAAGGAAATGTCTACATGATGCCGACAACGCATAACAGAAATTGGATCGGTTTTAAAGAAGATTGTGAGATCATAATTTTAACCGGTGGCAGGTGAAGGTGTCAGCTGAGGCGAAGCAAGGACGCAAATACTTTTGATTTAGCCTGAAATAACATCATTGCTGTATCAGTCTGACCAACTTTGAGCCTCTAAAACCCGGCTCAGTTAGACTCAAATGTGTCCAGTCTACAAACTGAGTTGAAGTTTAATTGTTTGTGCTTTTTTTTTTTGTAGGATGCTGCTATCAATTGCTGTTTTCACGTTTCCTCTGTGAGACAGCTGAACAACAACTCTCAGCGGTCACTTAAAGTGTTAGTAAACTGTTGCTCTGCTCTGACAAAATCCTGAATTTAGAGCCACATCTGATCTGACTACATCATAGGTTGGATCAATCTGTGTCAGCAATGCTTTTGGGATTAAATAAATACAATGTGGACTTCTGCTTTTTACGTGCCAAAGATTGGGGAAAAAAACTGACCGAGCGGTTGTCTGCAAAAGGATCAAAAGCCAACATGTGTGATGGTTTGGGGTGTTTTCCTTCATTTCATGTATGAGCATGGAAGAGCACCTGTGACTGACCCGTGCAGACACTTTTGTCCTAACAAGAACACGTATGGGGCACACTACGCATTGAGAATGGACCAAACATCCTCAGAGAAACACTGACTGTTACTTTGTCACGTGTCACAACAGACGACGTCATTGGTCAGGTGAACCACATTTGAAAAGGAGTACTACCTAAAAGCTGAGCAGGACTGAATAAAGACTAATGGAAAAGCCCCACGACCAGTGCAAACAACGCTTTAAGCTGAGAACTTCTGACCCCTCCCTCCTTGCCTGCTTGTCTTTATCTTTTTCTTTGTCCTGCTTGTCTTTGCCCTCCTCTGCCGGCGTCTCCTGCAGCTTCTCCGTGTACTTCAGGAGCAGGGAGTTCCCGAGGCGGGAGCCCAGGAAAAGGTAGCCGGGCTCCATGGTCACCATCTGGGCAAGAGGAGCAGGATTCAAACTCTTTCAGTCACCTTTCCATTTATTTTTGGCAGGTCTTGAGAAAAAACAAAACAAGCTCCTCCTTCCATTTATGTGCAGAGGGAAACTATTAAGGAGGCTTTTCCTTACGCAGGTGGTGAGGACGCTGGCTGCAGCTTTGTCGAAGTGGAAAGCCCGCACGCTCCTCATGCCGTCGGTTATGAGGGTCAACACGTAGCTGCAGGGAAAACCACAGTCAGTCACCAGCCCTTACATGGGAGATCACATTTGACCAAAGGCTCACATTTCCCCTCCTTTCAGCGAGATGACCATCTTGTCGTAGGCGATAAAGTCGGACTGAGCGCAGTCCAGCGTGATCTTCACCTCTTCCTGCACACCTGCAGGACAAACGCGGGTCATCATTTGAAGCACAAGCGCCAGGCGCAAAACCTGATCAAAGCGATGGTGCTCACGCAGGGGGAAGGACGTGGTCCCGGTGGTCTGAGAGTTTAGGGAAACCCCGTATGGAGGAACGCTCTGGTTCAGATACAGCAGCGAATTCACAGCGAACACCACCACGCCACCTGTGAGGAAAGCGGCGCGTGGCCGAGAGCTTAGCGAACACTGGCGATGAGGGGCGACAGGAGATGGGTTCACAGAGCTCACCGATGGGCTTGGGAACGGCCATGACCTGGGTGCAGTCAAAGGGCAGGTTGCTGAGAGACCAGATGACGGGATGGACCTTCTGCATGATGTTGAGGGAGATGGCGACGATGCTGCATGTGTCCTGGCGAACAGCCACGCGCCTGGGGGAAGGAGCATGTGGCAGGAGTTGATGTCTGGGAGCTGGCACATTTAAAGCCAGAGACGCTGTTCAGAAGGCAAACAGAAGCTCACCCGGGCCAGGTCTGGTTGGGCTCGAACAGAATGAGCAGCGTGGGCTCGTAGTAACCGTGGAGGAACTTCATGTCGATGATGTTCAGCAGCTTCTCGTCCAGCTCGCGGACATCGATGATGTAGCTGGGCAGGAAGCTGGACTTGGGTCTGCAGAGGACACACAGCGTTCACATGAGCTGGAGGGAGAGACGCACGCAGGACTTGTGGAGCTCAGACGTACCCTTCTCCAACTCCGCCCTCCTGCTCATCGGTCAGCGTGTCCTTTCTGAAAGGCAGAACCACCAGCTTGGTGCCATAAACAAGCATGACGGCACAGCGATTCTCCGGATCCACACGGACGATGGGGATGTGAACATTCTGCACAAATCCATCCTGAAAATATATATTTAGAAAAAAGAGAAAGAGACGGTCAGATAAAACCTGAATTGCCAGTGAAATCTTCCTTCCAAATTCCCTTTTACATACTCTGAGCTCTTGCTCCTCAAAGTAATGGAGAGACAGCGTCTTCAGGTCATGTGTTCCAGGGTCATATTCCACCACAGACAACTGGCGGGAGAGCAAACACACACACAGATCAATAAAGGACAGACGTAAAGCCACTCCGTTTGGTGGTGGACTACCGCCTCAGTCCTACCTTTGCATCTTTGAAGCTGAGGAGCAGAGCATCTCTGTTGGCTCCCACCAGCTGCACGCTGGCCATTGACATCACATTGCCAAAGAGAGAAAAGGACGCCACCTGCTCCAGCTTCTCTCTACGGGTTTTGGCATCTGTAACATATAAAGTAAAATCAGAGGAGCTTCAATGCAGCCTCCGTGCATTAAAACGTGTATCAGAATAAGATGCCCGTGCATACCGGATGGCTTGTCGGCCTTGGAGGTACTCTGAAATGACAACACAGGTGTCAGCCACAAAATGAACCTTTTAGCTAGGGATTCCCAACAACAAGCCAAAGCAGACAAAGATTACCTCCACATCATGGATGATCCTGTAGACGAAAAGCTGAGAGGTTCCAGCGACCACCAGATTTTTCTCCTGGCTGGATATGAAGTTGCAGTAGACGGAAAACTCCACAGCAGTGGGGGTGTGGGCTTGCCTGTACACTGCATACATCCTGGAGGGCTGCCCTCAGCATCTGGCAGGTGACAACGCTCACGTCAACAATTCCCTTCGCCTCTCTTCATTTGAAAGTTTTCCTTCAAAGTTAATCAATACAAAACGATTAACCTTTCAAAGTTAAATTTAAGAATTTCATGGTGTTAGTTAAACCTCTGACAAACTACAGTGACTTTTGTTCACCTGCTGCCGTTTGATAAGAAATTCAAGCCCCGAATTATTGCTATGAAACTGGCTAATAAAATGCTTCCAGCTATGCGAACGTTTGCTTTCTCGCCATTTAAAACAGTCTTAATTTCATAGATTGTATTGTCAAGTTATAACATTGTCCCTGTTGTGTCCAGTTAGCTTCCACTTTTGTCGTTAAAACCAAAGTGTACATCTCACAGAACTAGTTAGCTTCAGGTTTAGAATCTATGGAAAAACCTGGTTGCAACAGTTAGCAAACCGCTCATGCTCCCAAAGCTAGCACATTAGCTAGCACCAGCACGAGACTGTGTTTGGCGTGTTTTGGTAAATTATGAATTAAACTTGTCAACGTACCTATGTCTGATACGTTGCCGGCCCTTTTCGCTTTATTATCTGCGCTTCGATTTAATTTAGGTGGGTCATATTTAATGGGACACCAACTAAAGGTTCTCCTGGATAATAGCCAGGCAGACTGGCCGTTAGCTGTGTTGTGGTTGTCGTATAGCCGGTGTTCTTCTTCTGCGTTTCTCTTTTTGGCAGATCAGATAATCAAAGGTGTTATACTGCCCCCTACAGTCTACAAATTAATTGTATGAGCGGAACAGACGTTTTCAAGGTTTTTGTCTTAACCAAACTCCACTATGGTATATTTTTGCAACACTAACTTTAAGTGTATTTTACCATATACATTATATCTTCAAAAAGTGTTCTCATCCAAATCTAATTAAATAAATAAATCCAAATATGATAAAAAATACTCTTACTCTTTTATTCATTCTATACAATCCATCCTACCACCAAACTAAAATAATGTGCCATAACAGGACCCTGTTAAAAGGCAATTACATAACTGAAAAATAAGGGAATTTTAAGGAATGTTAGGAGTACAAAACATGAAATAGGATAATTAGAATAATGGGTGAAAATAATATTAACATTCTAAAATTAAGTGCATAACAGAAGAGTTTTCACAGTTTATATTTAATTGATAATTAAAGTTATACTATTTAAGATGTAAGTATAAAGTTATGTGTTCTTTAATTATACATCTATTGGGGAAAAAATAAATGTTAACTTTTAGAATTTCAGTTGTTGTACAATTTAAAAATAGATTATGTCTGCATTATTCCTGTTTAACACATTTCTTTATGTCTGTAATTTGAAGCTTTCTGATAAATTGAACCCCCCCCCGAAAAAAAACCAAACAGCTGGAATAAATAGAAAAAGAGCTTCATAAGTTTCCCATTCCAATTTTTATTTTTCTTTCAAATGAAAAGGGATATCAGCTGAGACCACAAACTCGTATTTACTGCTTGGATGAAAAGTACAAACATAAAAAATAAAAAAACAAGAAAGAAGGAAGATAACGTGTTGTTGGCAGCACAAATGTTAAGTACAATCTTACCTGAAAACTTCCAACATTCAGCAGACACTGTGCTTTATTCATAACGTCCACAAATTCTGCAGACTGTGTTCAGGTGGGAGGAGATCAAACAGATGACCGCCACAGAGGTCACGGTCCGACGCCTTTTGAAAACGGAGAGCCAGACATAAGTCCGTAGCACCTCCGTTCAACGTGTAATGAATGAAAAAAGGTTAAAACGCTACAACACAACAGAGCTCATGTGGACCTTTTGGAATAAAAAGCAACCCTTTGGTTAGTGTGGTGCGTGCTCCACTTAAGATGAATTCAGCAGCTATTCTTACGCGACGAGGCAAAAGATCAAATTTGACCACATGGGTAAATCAAAAACTGGGATTCCTATTGGTAAAAGTGCACAATGAATCAGTCCAATCAGCCCTCTTTGTTTTTTGCGAGTCCCTAAAACAGCCACCGAATTTGAATTTACAGCTTTGAATACATGCAGTGGGGCTTTGCTTTGTTTCTGTTAATTCATTGTTTTGTTCAAACCACAATGACACAAAAAAGTAGTTATTGTGCCCTGTGGGTTGAAATAAAGGCTTATTTCCCCTTAATAAATGTATGCTTGTTTTGAACAAATTTTTTAAACAATATTCTTTCGGGTAGCTAATGAAAATAGATCGAATTCCTCAATTCCGGTCTCCAAAATGATGGATATTGACTGCTGGTAACGTGCAGACTGTGGTGAGGACCACAGCATTCTGAGGGAGGCTGCGCTTAGGGTGTGCCTAATTGATTTATTTGCTTGATTTTGCCTGATTCGTCTAAGTTTGAACAGCTCGAAAGGATGCGATATAAAAAGAAAAAAAAAAGCCCTTGGACATTCAATTGCACTTTTACAATGGAGGTATAAACATTGAAAGGTGACATCACGGGTCTTTTTTCCCCCTCCAGACAGACGCGTGGGCTCTTTCCTTCAGCGGTGGATTCGCTGGCACGTGATGAGATACTCAGGAAAAGCTTGCGTGTCGTTGAAGATCACAAACATGGTGGGCTTGGTGATGTCATCGGTTACGCTGTCGTATCGGAGGGGGATGTCCCCCGTCTCCTTCAGGGGGGCCGTCTTCATCGCATGGCAGCCTTTGGTGAAGTCGCCTGTTAAGACTTTTGACATAAAGATGAACTTGTATCCATCCGCGTTTGGGGGCGAGTATTGTTCCTGGACGGACAGAGCCGAGTTGACGGCAAAATACACCCCCTGTCCATAAACGGTAGCTACGTGGACAGAGAAAGAACAAAAAAGTTAGATGGGTAGAGAAACAATGTTTTGAGACACGGTGTGATAAAAAGTTACCGTTCTTCCCACAGAAGCTCCTGTTGAACCCGTGAACACATATCTCTTTCACGCTGGTCTCGCTGGTGCCGTGGTAGAGCGTCCGCTCGATTTCAGGGTGGCTGGATCTCTGCATCACGCTCAGCTTCTTCAGCTTGTACTGATTGTACAGCAGCCGATTCATTAGCTTCTCCACCTTTAGAAAAGAAAAACGAATGAAAATGAGTTGGTGTTAACATCAAAACCTAAAACATAAATAAATAACTGCAGTAAAGCTCATTTTTCACCTTGATGATCCGGATTCTGCTGTGGTAATCTTGTATGGTCTCATAAAAGCTCTTCACCACATTCTGGAATTCGTCCGACTCCTCGTCCACTTTGGATGCTTCGGGTAGGTTCGACAGCAGAGAGCATTCCTCCTCTGTTCAAACCAAATGGCTCAGTTAGTGTATTGCATTTAATATTTTACTTTTAAAATTTCTGTTATAACCAAGCCACAGATGTTAGCAAAATGACAAAAGTTCCAAAAAAAATACTTAGTAAACATGATGCTCAGAGTCTTACTTTTCTGACCCCTGAGCCACCTTCTGCCATCAGGGATCTACAACATCTCCTTGCAAAATCTTAAATTCTCTCCGCTAGAGCATGTCAGTGACACAGTAAAGATCCTGAAAAGGTTCAGATTTTCCATTACTGAGTAAAAAAAAACAACCCAAAACACCATGTAATCCCCCAAAGGGTCTGCTGAATATTGCAGTTGGTTTTTCTCAAGCTCTCTGTGGCATCTTTAACAAGTTTGTGGTGTCTGAAGAGAAAGAAGCTCTGTTTTTGTACATTTAAACCTAAACGTATGTGGATGGACAGCTGAAAACTGAATGTAGTCAATCGGCTGATACGGTTCAACGAACGCTAGCAAGAGTGAAAGTCAAAGAGTAAGACATGGCAAACATCCCTGAAAAAACCCACAGCCACAAGTGCTTCCATCACCTAAGAGAAGCTCACATTAGTAATGAGCCCCACAGCGGGTTACTCATCCACACACTGTTGGAAGGACTCTGTGACACATTAGAGGATCTAAATGACCCGATTACAAGCTGAACACCACAACAAATGCCATCTCTAGGCCATTCAATGACACCATTCCATTCCAGCCCAATATAATCCAGTTTCATTGGGATAAAAGCCTTATCCAATAATTTCCAGCCCACAACACTGGAACCGGTAGGAAGAGTCAGAAGCCATTGCTCCATTTAGTGGAATTCAACAATGCTTTCTTCAAGAAAACACATCCCCTCAAGTTATTTGTTTCATGTAGCAAAAAGTTGATAGGGCCTTATTTTATCTGCCGGCTGAGACCAGAACACCGATGTGGGGATTCTGGGACCAGTATCAACAGATACAGCTTTCTCACTCCTCAAAATGTACCTCTCAGAGTCAAGCTGTTGTTTGGCACCAGCCAGTTCACGTCTTTGCATCCATCCATGACGGAGGATTTAGAGTGATATAGAACTCCTTAGAGAGCCAGGAACTCTTCAAAGGCACCTTTTATGGCGAATGAACCCAACAAGGAGCTCAAGTTCAGGCTATAAAAAAGGAAGATATGGAAGAGGAAGCTGGCTTAACGTCTTAAGCGTCAATGACAAATTTCTATTTACCTGGTAAGTCTTTGGTCAAATCCACCAATTCAGGCAACGTCCTGCTGATGGTCACAGCTTTTCCTGAGGCTATGTTGTATTCCTCCATCTTCTCAAAGTCAATAATGTGGGGCTGGTTGTCCAGTAAGATGTCAACTTTCTTCAGCTTCATCCTCCAAGAGTTCTCGATGAACACGATGGCGTCAGGAGAATAGGCCGTCGGTTTTAAGGAGGCCGGCTCGTGCTGCTCCCACCGGACGGTCTTCAGGATTTCCTCGTCCGTTAACGAGTTGGAGATCTTGTCCAGCAGCAGCTTGACGTCGGCGACGGCTCCGGCCACGTAATCCTGAAACCCGGACACGGCCACGATGGTTCCCTGGACTTGGAGCTCCACGGCATGCTTCCGCTGGATCATCTCCAAACATTTCCAGTGGTAGTCGCTCATCTTGCTTATGCACCTATGCTCCAGTTTCTCATCGACCTGCCTCAAGCTCACCTTCTTATTGAAGGCAATGTCCACCCGAACCAGGTCGCTGTCGTAGCCGGCGAACACCTCCAGCTGGACGGTGTTGGCTGCTTTTATCGTCTCCTGTAAGGAGGCATTGCCACATCCCTTTTTCTTTGGCTCTGTCCGGCTGCTCCTGTCAACACCGCCGGAGCAATGTTCATTTTGGATCATAGACTTAGACAACTCCAAGGCCTTTTGAAATTGCTCCTCTTCGTCTATAAGGGACCACTGGCTTGACTCCAGAGAGTATTGGATAGCCAAAGATAGCTGGGCCTCTTCTTCCAAATTGCTGGCGAATGAGCCACCGGCAGCATTCTGATCGGCTGGCAGCTGAGAGGCTTCGGCCGCTGACCCGTTAGAGGCGCCGTCCTTCAGAGGGGCAGGTTCCTCCGCCGTGTAGAGGTCCATGTCATCCATGTCATCCAGCTCACCCGCTGTCAGCCCTTCCTCCTGCTCCCTGTCATCAATAGCAGAGACGATCTTCTTGGCTTCCTCTAAAAGACCTACAAAGAGGTAAAAAGATTACAGTCAAGTATATTGACTATATTGACATATCTGCCATGTACAGAACATACACACAAACAGAAATTTTTCCCCTCAACCCCTCTGGCGTATTGACAAGTATTAACATGTAAAAATGAAAAAGAACACCAAAATAGCATTCAGATATGAGTAAAGGGGAAAGAAAATAATACAATTTAAATAGAATATGGCATTGTGTCAAAGTACTGCCAAAAAATGGGAGAATGAAGGAGAAGAGAGGACCCTACCTCCACCTGAAGCTCCATTAGGAACCATCTGCTCTGAGTCTGATTTCAGCTCCTGTGCAGAACCATTCAAGGACACCTTCTGGAAGTTTCTGTGGGACATCATCTTCCATGCACTTTCGAAAATATCCTGGAAAAATAAAGAAGTTTTTTTTTTCTTAAATCTACTCCGAGCTGTTCTTAATGATTTAAATAATAAGAGCGTAAACCGACAAACAAAAAAAGTCAAAATTAAAGACTCCAGGTACAGAGAAACTGTATTCTTTAACTCTCAATGTTTCTGTTTACAGTCGATGACTCTTCTTTCCTCATTCTAGACTTATTCCTATCTTACTCAAAGTAAGCACTGAGATTACTCGGTTTGGATTACAAGCTTTTCAATTCAGATTTCAATTCACATTGAAAGAAAGAGGTTTTCAATGTTAATGGAAATCTATTAAAGTCTAAAGAAACAGCAAGAACGAAAAGAGTTAGACTAATTTTTGTATGTTGAAAAAAATAAAACAATATAGCTCTGAACAGGCTCACTCATCACTGTGAGGAGAAGTGGAAAAAAGGACACACAAAGGTTCAAAAACCCGTTTGCATTGGTCCACTGTGGCCTCACCTGGTCTGGTAGGGGCTGCCAGACCTCGTACTTTAGGATGATGAGGACCTGAAATTTAGTTTCCATTTCATTAAATATGCTCCTGCACTCCTTCTCATCCAAAAACCGGGCTACTCCTGGGTTGTTTATCGTGATTGTTCTGGTACAGATAGAAGAGACGACGCCTTGAAGGAGTTCTTCTGCCATTTGACAAGCGACTGCATGGCCATGGATCTGTCAGATTTATTCACAAAGGACGCAACATATTATTGAAGAGCATAACCTCTAATCAGAAAATAAATTAAAAAAAGAAGGATTCTTACTTCTTTTGTTAAAAACTATAAAGACCCACATACCTTTAACCCCGAAACTTCCTCACCCTCGAGTGGAAAAATAGAGACCTGGTCCATGTCGGCCAGGAGCTGATGAGAGTGAATCTGGATGTACTTCAGTGTTCCTGAATCCATAGAAATCAATGTCTCCCTCTCAATGGGTGTAGACAGAAACTTTAGGATCGCAGTCTGCTTCTCATCCTCCATCCCTTTCAGTGTCAGGACATCAATACTATCTTCTTGTTCTGAGCGCTTCGCATAGACAAACCCCAGAGCCTGCAGGAACTCAGTCCACTCTCGCAAATACAGCATGCACTGCAGTTCCCCGTCCACGGGAATGCGGAAGCTGCTCAGCTGGGATTTTAGAAAGTCACATGCCCGGCGGGCTGAATCCTGGGATGAAGATGTCACAGTGACATCAGAGTTTGACACAGTGTACATGGCGGGCGACGCAGTTTGACTCATGGCTTCATGCAGCTGCTCCTTCACATCCGGTCTAGCCAGAAACTCTGCCTGCTCTGGCTCTAGAGGGATATTAGTCTCAACCAACTGACCAATAAAGTCTAGGATCCTTTGTTTCAGCTGCTCTACTTGAAGTCTGTCAGGCCCTGAAATGTCCACACCCTCACCGTCCTTCATCTGGATGCTAAAGTTGGGGTAAGCTTTCTGCGTGTCCTGGTAAAAGGCGCTACATTGGAACAAAGCGGATTTTACTGGGTCGGTGATGAGGACTTGGCACGATAGCGTTTGGTCTTCCTCAGCCTGATCCTCCATCGCCTCCTCCGCCACCTCTTCTGCGGTTTCGATCGCGGGAGTTTCCACGGCCGCCTGAGAGGAGGGATGAGAGGGCTGGTCTGCATCCATCAGGACCGGACCGGCCTGCATCACTACATCAGTCAGGGCCTCCGAGCTGTTCTCTGGGCTGCCTTGGCTTTCAGTTACAGAGTCCTGAGCTGGTTCACTCTTTGCAGGTTGAAGGAAGTCAAAGTAGGCCTTCACTATAAGCTCAGAACCATCCAGTTTATGCTGACGATTCAGTATGGGGTCCAGAGCTGAAAAAAGGGGGGAAAAAAGGAAAAAGAGCCATTCTATGACATTGGAGAATGCTAATAGGGCGACAGCTGAACCAAAGGCAGCATGGAGTAAAACTTACACTCAGAGTTTTCAAAGGACACCTTTGCGGTGCCCTCTGACAGCATGGCGACCTCCTTCACCTTCTGATGTCCACCTCGATTGCTTTCAAAGTACAAAGAGAGAAGGTCTGCTGTGGTTCCAGGGTGTAGGTTCTCCACCAGGACGGAGTCCGTTTGCTCAATCTGCTCGATAGTCACCTCGGCCCCATCGAGCTTCCTTTTGGAGATTTTCACTTGCAGCATTTGGAATTCTGCAGGAGGAGAAAAAAACATATATGGGGGACTCCAAGAAAAGAAACCTTGCATGACCTTTTCAGCCAAACTTTTCTCTGCTGGGTACATCCAAAACTTTAAGCTAACTCTAAACACTAGGCTGTCAGCAATGACAAGATGACAAACGAATATTATGTAAATATTCGCATGAATGGTGCTGCTGTTTGTAGGATAAATCCATGCTCAGAAGCAGCCACAACAAATCCATTCTGAGTTGTTATAGGTTCCTTTCCTTTTCGAATCGGTTTATCAAGTGGCCATTTCGGTAACTCATTATTTATACCTGCAACAAGGCTGTATGACGGCGCCTTGGCTAGCTCTGCTGCCTTATAATAATAAGGTTTTTGCCTGAATCTGTGTGCAGTTTACATGTTTTTGCTGCCCGAGTGACATTCTCCTCTGGTCCAAAAGAATGATATTTAGAAGTGATTCTTAACTCACTCAAAGAGTGGCTCTAGAATGGATCTACACACTGCTTATATTATGATAGAAAGACGAATTAGTTGTGGTATGTGTCTGCTCTGACTTCTCCACCAGATGTGTAAGGGAATACTGAAGAAGAAAAAAAATCTATTCTACATTTCTAAAATGACAAACCTTAAAAGGTTTGCTTTGGATACTTCATTTGTGAAGCCTGAATTGTGTGCGTTCATTTCTTCTAAGAAGTGGAAAGCATACACTTTCTTAGGACACCTTTTGAGAGGGCCTGGCTGAGATGAATGAGGACGCAGTCTTTTCCTGGGGAGCGATGCAGGGTGTAGTCTGTGATGCTCAGGCCCATCATGTTCTCCACGTAGAGCTCCACCATCTCCATGTTAGTGCTGGGGTTGAGCCCCCGCAGGAGGAGTCTGCACGGGTCCTTTGACAGAGGCTTTCGTACCGTCAGCTCCACATTGTGAAGAACATGGTGTCCTTTCGCAAGCACCCGGGCCGCGGCTGTCGAAGCAGTTAGAGCATAAATACATCGCAATGCAAGAAACTCTTTCCATTTAAGAGGTAGCAGTCGTTGCCTTTTTTCACCTGAATCCCTGTTAAAGAGAGGATATTGTGGAAGGCACCATTCATTTCAACCTGACTGCAGTTTGCATGAGCTCTATAGGGGATTTGAGCTACTTTCAATGGCTAGTTTTATTTCTTAGAATCCTCAACTCTGCTCCTCTGGCTTGGTTAAATACAAAAATTGAAGGAAACATAACAAAGGAGAGACAGAAAGTTGCATAATCTCAATAAATCGTGTCCATGACAAATGACAAACTTTCCCCTTTGTAGGAGGCCAAAACAAAAACAATAATCTTTCAAGTGTACAATATGTTCCTAATATAGTCAGAATTTCATTCTTAAGAAGGAAAATGATTTAAAAAAAAGATCTCATGAAAAAAGGCCACACTTGTTCAGTGTTTTTCTAATCGTATGGCAGCAAGCATTAACATGCCAGCTGAGATGTGACTTGTGTTCCTTTTTTTCTTTAAAGTTACTTTGACCTTGGCGTGACTATTTTTATCATTTTTATCACCCTATCATCAGGGTGTGAAATATATTTCTGTGCATTCCGTATGAAATGAAGCACATATCCTGATGAGCAAGAGCCCCAGAGGCTTACGAAATAATAATAATAATAATTTATAACCACAATTTTAAACAAAACTAATGTAAATACATGATTGGGACTTGCCTTCTGCTTCCTCAAAAACCAGTACAGCATTGTTGTCCTTCTTTTCCACAGCCTCAAGCGAACCGCCCCCTGATCGCCTCTTATTCTCAAAGTAGAGGTACAGCAGCTCTTCGTCGATTCCATCGGGCAGGGCCAGAACCTCCACTGTCCTGTCCTCCGGGCTTTCAACAGGCATCCTACAAACACAGAGAGCACATCAAAGTCTTACTGTACATTTACATCTTATTGCTAACGTGTCACATTTTGAATGTGTCCTGAAGCGGACATCGATCTTATCCATGAGCACACAGGTTCCCACGTGTAACTGTTACACTGCTATGTAAATAAACACGCTTTATGACATTTAAATTATTTCAATGCTTGCATAACCAAATGTTAAAACCAAAATTCAAATTTTGCGTCAGATCTCAGAGCTCGTTATTGCTCAGTCGAGACTGAGGATTGTTGTCCTGAGGACAATGCCTCGACCGAGTCTCCGCCAAGCAAGAACTATCTTTTAGATTTGCCTTTAGTAGACAGCAGTTATTTTGTAGAAGCCAACACGTCATTTTGTTTCTTGTTCTAAAACGTAAAAAATTCTGCATTCATTTGATATTTTTGGATGACTTAAATCAGCTTGCAAGAGTTCAGCCATTAAAAAAGGACTTAGGGAAAATATAATAAGTGTTATATATTTAACTGGACATATCAGATAATCAGTTAGGTCATTGCCTAACGAGAAGTAGAACACCATTCCATAACATTTAAGGTAAAACCCAACAAAAAGCAGTCAAAGATTCCTAAGTCAGCACACAGATCATAACCATAACAGTAAATAGAAACCGCGCAGCTTAATACTCTTAATTCTTAATAATTTGAAAATAAAGAAACTAAAATGTGAGAAATTATCCTCTTAGGTCCAAGTCAGGACTTTGGAGTGGGTTTCGTTTTATTGCATTAAAATTAAATTGAAGTAAATTTCGACAGGAGCCGAATTACAAAGGACAATAAGCAGCGTTGCATGTTTCATTTTAAACGTGTCTCGTGCTATTTTTGAGCGTTTTCTGAGACGTAGTTTGGGAATTCGTCCCTAATCATTCCCACTGTGGCCTACCTACGCAACGCTCCGGAGCGCGTTCGCCTTACAGGAAGTCGGTCCCTTTTAACTCCTACTGTTTCGTTTAAGGAAACGTCAGGCTACGATTTTATTTCAAACTGTCGAGTGAGGATTTGTTAGCAAGGGTGCACTATTTTAGTGTCGTTGTTGTTTTCTGAGGGCATTTTCTTGTATCTAAAAGTTCGCACAGGTATGGTCTTGCGTTGTCATATTGCACGGTGGAAAGTGAAAGCCGTGCTCCGGCGTCCCAGCTCGTCTCCGAAAAAACGCTCTCCTGCCGGAGCAGCTCGTTATTTTAACGACCCGGAATGCAAATTTAAATTTTTTCCAACCACATTTAAGATGACTTGACAGCTTTTCTTACCTGTGCTACAGTGTATACATTAGCTCGATAGTTGAGAACTTCCTTGTTGTGCTGCTTGTTGAACGTCGGGTGGCGTCATCGACGTGCGTCGTTACGTCGACCCTCACGCGCCGAACGCTCGCAAACCAGCCCTACGTCAGGCCAGGGGATTTTGTTAAACTTCATTTGAACTGTATTGAATTTTTTGTCACTTTCCTGTCATTATGATGTTTTTAATTTGATTTTTTTTCTAAAACAAAATAGATTTACGTAGAACCAAAAATTTCTAATGACGATTCATTTTTTAAGCTGACTAGTCAATATAATTTCGTTCGATCTCTCATCAAGGCCTAATAATGAATATATTAGGGTGACCCTATTTTGATTTCCAAAAAGGAGGACACTTTGTCCAGCCTCGAGGTGGATTCAGACAGGATTATCAGATGTTATGGGGTGCCTGGTGGGGGGCTGGGGGCAGAGAGTGCCCCCAGCCCCGGTCCCCCAGCAGCCATTCGAGACCAGATCCCAGGAGGACCACAACAGACACGACTGGGCTCCAGCCCAGAAGGCAGCCAGGGAAGCCCCCCAGAAGAGCCCCCACCGCCGTAGGGCCCCCCAGAAGAGCCCCCACCGCCGTAGGGCAGAGGCCCCCCAGAAGAGCCCCCACCACCGTAGGGCCCCCCAGAAGAGCCCCCATCGCCGTAGGGCAGAGGCCCCCCAGAAGAGCCCCCACCACCCCCTTAGTTCAAACTAAGCTTGACATCATCATGACAGGCATATCTACATTTTAATTCCATCTTAAATTAGACTAAATGTGCATTGCCTAAATGCTTAATAGGGGTGAATAGGCTTCATTAGCTTGTATTGACATAATGACTCATTCAAAAATGCTGTATAAGCCTTTTAAATGCTATTCCAAGATTTATATGTACAGCTAGTGCCAGCCAGGTGTCAAAGATTTAATTGCATTTTAATTGTTTTTTTTCCTCTTTTCACATTGGCAAAGGCTTTCCTAACCTAACAGTGCAACATGACTCTGTACTGCTTCCCAGCTTGTCTAGATTGTTCTGTTTGAAGTAATTATTTGGTTTACGGTATGTAAAGTTATGGGCTTGGAAAAACCTGGTAACCAACCCTGTACCAGAACAGTACGTTTCTTCTCACAAACTTCAGTCTGTACTTAACACAGTTAACTAGATGTTGCATATATCTGGGTATGTTTGTGAACCTGAAGGGCTGCACGGCTCCCGTTTCAAGAATCCCACAGAGGATGCTTCCTCATGGATTCAGGGATTCTCTTTGTCCTCCATCTTCATCTATTCCCACACGGATTCAATGACTGAAATCAAATCTCTGTTGGGACTGTGTGAAATATGCTCGGGCTGAAATGTCTTCTTTTTTGTTTTTGTTTTACTGTTTGTTTAAGCTTGTGGCGAGGCTCGTAATCAGTTTTGAACAGACCAGTCTCCTGTGTTAAATGATAGATAAGAACATAAATATGTAAAGTGCCAAAAGCTTGTGCACAACATGGCAAATGAAGTGGTTGCCTAAAGTAAGCCGATGAACTCATTGCATCAACCTTAATTAAACTTTTCTAGAAACCTTGCATATGCATAGTTAGCAGGCCAGACTGAACATTCTGAAACATTAATGTCGCATGCTTTGTGAATGAAGGCAGAACGAGGTGTGAATAGGACCCCACGGCCATGAAATTATTCATCTACCTCCTCAAGTTGCTGATGTGAGCACAGAAGATAAACAGTAACAGATTGTTTTCAGCAAAAAAAGAGGAATGAAGAGAAAAACTCTTGAGAGTTGCCAACGTTAATACATTTTTATTAGAAACCAATTAGCTGGAATTTGTAATGGTGCGGAAAAAAGAACCCCTTCCTAACAGCCACACTGAGGAGGCAACTGGACTGCACTCAGCTTCATTAAGCACAGCCTCTAAACGGAATCCTGCGATTGGCTGGCATGAGAAACCCTGTCAAAGTTCTAACAACGAGGCCTAAAATCTGCATTTTAATCAAAAAGCATCAACGAGATTACTTTTCAAATAACCAAATAAGATGCATTGGACATACTTTACATACCCATTCAAAAACGAGGCTCTGTCCATTCAAATAGCACGCCCAATCATGCCCAACAATTGAGAAATGCATAGAATTTAAATTATTATTTGTCTTTTCCCCCAGTTTAAGCAAAAAAGGTACTTTTGTACATTGCCAAGTCCAAAAACAGCTGAATAATATTTTCAGCATGCATCTGTCCCACTTAAGTCAGTCGCAGTGACGTGAACAAGGCTTTACTCAGTTTTGCAGAAATATTTTAAAACAGTTTAAATAATCTGTTCTAACACTGTTTTTTTTCAAAACATTTATGTAAAAAAATGAAGACATCAGACCTCAAATGGATGTAAATGTAAAGACCACTGCAACATGACAGCTGCTGAAATGAGTTTCAAGCATCAAAATAACATAGCTTGTATAATCCTATAATATTTACCAAATGACAGACAGAGTAATGTCAACACTGACACATGGTCTTCTCCACTAGGTGCCAGTATTCTCTGTTCAGTTAATGTACACTTCCATCGCCTGTGTCAGTTTGGATTCATGGTGGTAGATGATGTGCTTATTGGGGAATCATGATTATAATGGCTGGGGGAAACTTGTCCATTATCATCCAAAGCACACGACGGAAATCGTGGTTTAATGGATTCAAGCCTAAATGTCACATGGTGGCATTACTAAAGGTAAAGTTAAAGAACCAAACATGGTGACATCTTACAAAGAAAAAACAAAAATCCCCCACAAAATGTATTATTCCTATCTGTAACATGATTCTTTCAAATATGTAATATATAAAAAACAACAGAAACAAAGTGACAATAATTATGACATTTCATGAAAAAAATCAGTCTTCCATTTAAAGGCACTTCAAATTGACTTTACATTAAAAAAATATGTCAAAAGGTACGTTAAAAATTGTACAATAGGTCATTGGTTTTAAGGATAAGGCATTCCTGTAAAAGCTGTATCATACATCACAAGTCAATGATAAATCATCAAAAACTTTGCACTTACTCTAGTTTTAAAAACCTTTCATTACTCCACCGCAGCTAGTGACAAAAACCTCATCTGTTGCACGGCATCACAAACCTCGGGTAAATCCACGCATTGCTGAACCCATAAAGTCCAAACTATCCCTAAGAAGTTCTACTAATCACGGCTGCACTATGGAAAAACACTGCGCACGAGTTATTTTGTCTGTGAATTTGCAAATTAATGCCAGCTAGCATTCTTATCTTTAAAGTGGGATATACAATATTTAAAGCAAAAAAAGATCCCTGCAGCAGCCTGAGAGGACTCAGTGCTGCTCTGAGCTAAATCTTTTTAATCAGACGCCTACATTGTCCCCTGGTTGAACTTTGCCAGGTTTATAATGCAAAAAAGAAGTTGAAATTAAGTGGAAAACCTTTGGTTTTGTGAGTGGATGGTTTTATGTTTTAAAAAAAAAGTTTCAGCTACGGTACACCCATTAACTGATGTTAAAATCACCTATTTAGGATGCACACAAAACTCCTTTATTAGGTGAACAATCACCAAACCACTGAGGGCGCCTTGCTGTCAGAATTCCATTCCACATTGTGCATAAATACCCACCAACTGCTAAAGACATTTTCTTTGACAGGTGCAGCACTCTATACGTGCACTCCACTAGTCACTGAATCCTTCTGTTACTGCTAATGCAATAAATTATGAACCAATAGCTAACAGCAGATTTCAGTTCCATAGCTTAGCCCGCAGGCTCTATGTTAGCTTAGCCTGAAGCTAATTCACGTCAGCAGGGATGTTTCCCTGAAGACAAGAAATATTTCAACACTACTGTCCTAAAATAACTTCTATGATAACGAGTTATGATAATGTTAATTGTGAAGCGACCATGAATCACCCCATAATTGTCATCACTTCCTTATTTTAGTTGAGGTTAATGCAGTTAAAAACTGACCAACAAAATGATTATGGTGTCTTTTAAGTGATGCAATAGTTAGTTTTTAAGATTCTGTCTTTTTATCCCTTTTTTAGTTTTCTTCCTAGCTCTGAAACACATTTTCTGGGTGAGAGATCAAATTTACAAGATGTATGACAAAAAAAAAGCAACGACTGAATTCTAAGACATTATGTGTGACAGTGTGACAAATATACGCACATGAAATCTCAGTAGGGACCGAAATGTGTTGGAAAGATCATTATTTCAGCATTTCTTAAAGATGAGAACAGCCTGGTGGGTGTTCTGTAAATTCTTTTTTTTTTTCATTTGCCCTTTATAGCTGACCTTTGGCTTGACTTGATTTTCTCCTTTTAACCATGAAAAAAGAATATAGTGTCTGCAAAAGAGAAGCAGGATGCAGACCTAATGTCAAAATCTAATAATATGACTTCAATTTCAATTAAATCAACGTTGCGGTCATTAGAGGTGGTTTGTGAAAAAATAATTGGTTTTACATTTCTTCGCTATCAATTTGTATTTTCACAGATTCCAATTCAGGCTCTGAGCATAAATTAGATTGGTGGGTTAAATAAAATAATAAATCCCAGTCTTGTCCATTCAACAGTGGAATATGTCGCTGTTTGCCGGCTGCTTTATTTCTTTTGTGTTTTTTCTCAGTCTGAGGTGCATTATAGATCCCAAAAGCGGCAGTGGTGTTGCCAAATGTTCCATGAACAGAGCTTTGGAATGAAAATGATATTTGTTAAACAGCAGCTTTGGCAAACAACAGGAAACAGAATGGACCAGGAAAAATCAAGTGGACCCCAGAAAAAAGCGGGAATGTTCAGGTCGGCTGTTGGGCTGTTTTGTGGTTGCTATCATCTCCCTTTAAACATTCTGATTTTGTGCTTGTCCGCCAACAGCAAGGTGACATTATACTCATAATCTCCATCGTGGACTCCTGTGTGCCGGAAAGCCCCCGCCAAATGATTGGTCTCCCAGTAGTGGTGCCAGTTTCCATACTGGTCTGCGCCAAATCCAAACACACTGATCTGAAGCAGACAAATAGAACAGTCTTTTAAAAAATCACTCATTAATACCCTCACAGTGAAACATTCATAGATGAGCGTCACTAAAATTGCGGATCTTTCGCCGATCATTTTCCTTAATTAAATACAGCGTAATCCCTGAGTCCACTGGAGGGAGGAACGTCTGCAGTTCTGTTGTCGTGGAGCTCTCCGGTCCTGCCTACTGCTCCAGTTACACTCACCTCATCACATATGTGGATAGCAAGTAGCAAGCTGAGGAAGCCAGTGGAGGGATATCGCCCGTGACCCTCCAGCCAGGACTCGTAGACGTATTTGAAAAATGTCGGACTGTAAATCAAAACCTACAAAAAAAGCATTGAAAATCTATAAGCCTAAGGAACTCATCTTCTCCATTGTAATTTACTCAAAAAGCAGAAAATGGTTTAGTCACATGCTCGGAATTCATGGAAAATGTTCAAACAAAAATACAGGAGAGCTCTTATGATCTTTGCCCCACACATAGTTCAGATTACAAAAAGTCATTTCTGTGTAGCAGGCCCAGATTTAGAGAGTGGGTTGTTAGTATTAGCACAAGAGTACCCAACCAAATTACAAACGGATGAGTATGAGAATTAAACGACCATATCACACACTAAGAGTATTTTAATGGCTATTTCAAACCATTTCATGGAAAATTAAGCTTCTTAAATCATCACATTTGTAGAAGTAACAGGATTATGATGTTCATTTTTTAGTTCATTGTAATTATACACCTAGAAGTGTTTTTCATCTAACTAATACTGACCAGCAATAATGGCCCCAGAGAGAACATTTTGTGTAAATAAAATGCCCCCCCCCATTTTCCAGCTGAAATTTCAATTCCAGTTAATAACAGAGTTTGAGCATGTAGTCAGCTTGATGATAGCCTGCAGAAAACCTGTGAGTTGAGTTCTGTGGACAGAAAATCCTGCATGAGCCAAGAGCCCCCCCCCCCCCCCCCCCACCACTACCGAGCTGCTGCAGACCTGAACCATCTCTTGGATTCTTCTCACTCATGGATTATTAAGCATCTCCCTCTGCTCTCAGAACCACGAGTCCCCACAACACCACCGCCGTATGAATAAATCTGCCTTCCACTCTGGCTCAGCGTGTTACGACTGTCTTGAGTCCTTTTAGGCAACTCGCTGTGACAGAAACTTCTGGCATTTATCTCTGAAGACAGTCTTTAGTAATTACACCGTTAATAAATAATAAAAGAGTCACAGAATGACTATGTGCAGCTCCAGATGTGAGTTTGAGTCCATGTTAGTGAGTCGACATTAGCTTAGACGCTTTTATAATGCTAGATGAAATCATTGCCTTTATAATACCCAAAGGAAAATTGCGAGTATAAACCACGGTTTTAGATGAGTAATTGGTATAGATAGAATACAACCCCCCCCCCGACAAAACAGTCAAATTAAAATATATTTGTATTGTTCGAAAAACTGCACAAGGCAATGCACTGACTCACGACTATTTTTCTTAGCCGTGGATGTTTGATAAGGGTCTTTTTCTCACGAACAAAGAATCAAAACTGCACTATTTGATGTATCATAAATGATGGCTGTTAAAAAATACTGAGTGACAAGCCAAATGTTTATTGGTTCTGTTTTCGTATGTTTTAAATGTTTCATCATCCTGACAACTCCATGACTGTAACCTCCTGGCCCCGGTCTCCTTAATGAGCACTTGACCTCCTTTTTTCCCACGACAGCAACGAGGACTACATGCAGCAAATTTAAAAGGAAAAAATATCAAGAGCTCTGTCCACGGTTACTAAATATATACATATAAGCTGTATATGAGGCTAAAGATATAAAATCAGGTTTTAATGAGAGCTGAACTTTGTTGAAACCTTGATAATGACTGAAAGCATTACCAAGTCACAATATGTGAATAGTTTCAGAGAAGCACAAAACATGCCAACAAAAGCACTTTCATGAAAAAGTCAGCCGTATTCATTTATACTTTGTGGAAGCACGGAGAGTGCCGGGGGATGAAAACCGATGCGGAAAACCGAAAGCATAAAACAGAACGCAAACACAATGTGATGTGTCCAGAAGAAAAAAAAAATCAGAGCAATTCTGTAATGTAATGCATAAAATGTCACACCACACAAACAGTCTGTATCAACTATGAAAATCTGTTTCTGGATAAATCTGATTTCATGCACGTCTGATGTTGTATTGCATTGTTATGCTAGCACAATGGAGATTAGGTTAAAAAAAACATAAGAAACCCATTTAACTCACCTTATCTTTGTTTGCTTTTATCCGGGGAATAACGGGTAAATATGTGCTGTAAAAAGCAAAGGTCAAATTAGAATGGGAAATAAGAAAAATCCTAATCAACAACTAAACGTTTCCAAGCAGCTTTCTTTATTGAACATCTGTGAGGAAAGCTAATTATAAACAATCAGCAGTATATTAAGCTCACAGTCAGTTATTCTTCTCTTTCCTTTTCTTATTTTTGTTGTTGTTGTTGTTGCCCCCCCCCCCAGCATTGGGTACATTGAATGCTGATCTGAAGCTGTTAACACAGCAGTCATTTAAAGAGAGGACGGAGAACCCCCCCCTAGGGGTTCTTTTTCCAGGTCTTCTCAACTTATTATTGATGTGGATAGTATGAAAGTGGGATAGTACGCAAAATCATATATTGAGTGAATACAGCGAATGTCCCCATTTCATTATTAAATAGACCGAATTATAAAAAAGAGGCAGATGTGTGAAGCATCAATTGGTCAGTGGAGCTCTGTTATATTACAAAAGGTTAATTTCCCTAGGGAACTAGAAATAAACCTTCACTTACATCTCACATCTTAGTTAGGATGTTAAACTCTCATATTCATGAAAATGTCATCTGTGATGGACTGGCTACCCGTCCAGTGCGTCCCTTCGTCTGCTGGGACTCTACAAGGAATACGTTGTAGCGAAAATGGACGGGTGGATGATATTACAGTTAGAAAATGTAGCAGCAATGAGGGGCCTTGCTCTTTGGAGGTGCTCCGGCTGAGGGCCCTGGTGCACGCCTCATTAAGGCTGGACTAGAATGGGGCTGAGAGCACGCTGAAAGGGCTTCAGTCAGGAGCCATTCCATGACAATGGACAATTCAGACATGATTAAATCACTAGGAGTCTGTCCAAATCTGAGTTCCTGCTTTGTTTGGGATGTTGTTCCAAGAATCTGCTGTTACACGGCTACCAGAAAAGGTAGCGTTGTGGAGAAACTTTGAATGAATAATCCCAAACACAGCAGCAGAATCTCAAAAGCATGAAGCTGCTGCAATGGTCCTAGATAGATAGATAGATAGATAGATAGATAGATAGATAGATAGATAG